AGCAATACCCACCTAGTTTTATAGATTAACTAGGTTTAGACTGGCATGGCTAACTAGGAAGGAAATCGTGTCATAGTGAAAGTTAGTTCAATGAAAATATAACCGAGCCTGAAACAGTAGTAGTAATAACCATGATAGGTAATTTTAGAGGAGAAATTGGAAAGAAAACTCTCAGTGATAGAATATATTTAAGTAAATTTATGGTGGATTTGAAAAACAGTACAGTTCTGGTTGGTCTGCCTGAAAAAGTATATAACAGAAAAGCAGGAAAAAGGCCCAATCAAGTTGTTGGAGCACTTTCCCTAAAGTATTTGAGCTTTTGGTTTAAAAAGAGAGTAATTAAGGAGGAACATCATTTATTCAAATTGAACATGGAGAGCCAGTGTGGTGTAGTGGTTAAGAGCATGGGACTGGGACTCAGATGATCTGGGTTCTAGTCCCTGCTGAGCCATGGAGCCAACTGGGTGACTTTGGGCCAGTCACAGACTCTCAGCCCAACCTACCTCACAGGGTTGTTGTTGTGGAGATAAGATGGAGGGAGAAGGAAATGTAAGCTGCCTTGAGTCCTCTGTAGGAAAAAGGTAGGATATAAATCAATCAATAAATAAAGTGATACCAAAAAAATAGAGACACAGAGAGAGAGGGAGAGAGAGAGAGCACTATCCCTCACTCTATTAATACTAGAAGTTAAGATCACTCAGAGAAATTGACCAGTAGATTCAGGGCTGAGAAAGGAATTACTCCTTCACACAATGATTAACAAAGATGGTGGTTAGAATGTATAATCAGATCCAAATTCTGAACTCAGATGAGACTCTAACTGGTTGGCCTTGGGCAGTTTACACCAATGTAACCTAATTCACATGTTTGTAGTGAGGATAAATTGGGATCCTTGGAAGAATGGAAGCATATTGTTAATTTTATTATTAAACATTTGTGTAAGATTTTCACATGTTTAGAGCCACTTCATAATAATATGTGCTACTTATTGAAGTATATCTGTATTTTACCCCCCATAATGCAAATGTGAGAGAGAGAGAGAACAGCAGGTCCCTAGCAAGTTCAAACTGGGAGCTTCCTGAGTTATAGCTCAGCCCCTGAGCCACTGTACTGCTCTAGCTTGAAACGGCTAACCAAAAAAGGGAATTGGGTTCCAAACTATGTGGTGGTGGTTCTTGGCTTAGAAATCACTATCAGATTTATGGAGGATAAAACTATTAATAGCTGTTATCATCAGCTGTAATTTAAGAAATCTCCAGAATAGCCTTTCCTCATCTTGGGCATTATGGAAGTTGCCATCCATCTGGAGAATGCCAGAATGGAAAAGGCTGCTCCAGAGATTCACTGGGACAGTACTAAACTCTAAAGGGCTGCAAAAGTGAAAACTAAAAGGCTGAGGTATAGTCAGAAGTATAATAGAAGCTGGTACACTTCTTTTTAAGAATAGTGAGAAATGTTATAGATCTATTTTTAACTTCTGTGTAAGGATATGATTTGCTATTCTAGCATATACTAGAAGCTTTCTTTTTTGGGAAAAAACCCCTTTATTTTTTATATAAACATTGTACAAGCAGTAAAATATTAAATAATACAGATAAAATATGCTTACACAGCATATTGCAGAGAAAGAGAGAGAGAGAGAGCATAGAAGCATGGATTTTGATTTAATTAATAATCATTTTCAACATATGAATAATGGTGTGGACTTCTGAGTTAATGTTTTCAATATAGTTAACAAATTGCCCATTTCAAGTGTATTAGAAAACAACTAAATAATGAATATATTTCTCACTACTTTTAGTGATTTCTTATTTCTTATTTCAGTTCAAAGAAGATCAGACTCTTCTTCAGATCAAATGGTCACCTCTTATTTCCCTATATTGCGTCAGTGCCTTTTTGGAGAGACCTAACAATCAACTAGTGACCACTACAGTGCTATTAACTGATGTCTTTCAGGAGCTGTAGCTTTTACTTCACAGTGTGAATGTGAAACTGTGAAAACCCTTGTGATTTAAAAACTACAAGTTTACATAAAAGCATGAAAGATTATGCAGACTTATTCATTTATTTGCTTATTTAAAGCTTTTATATAATGTCCAACTACTACAGTCCTGGGATGGTCTACAATAAAAACAGAATAAAATGAAGTACAGCATCCAGTAAGTCCAAAAAAAAGCCACCCCACATTAAAACCTAATCAACCTTAAAATAATGGGCGAATAAAAAAGTTTTAGCCTGGTGCTGAAAAGAATACAGAGTTGGCACCAGGTGGATCTCTCTGGGGAACACATTCCATAACTGGGACAGCACCACCAAGAAGGCCCTTCTCTGGGTAGTGACCCTTGTAATCGCCTTCAAGGAGGGCTCCTGAAGAAGGACCTCCATGGCAGATCTTAAGGGGCAGCAGGGCACATAGGGACGGAGATGCTCTTTCAGATAACTAGGTCCTAAGCTGTTTATGGCTTTATAGATCATCATCAGCACCTTAAATTGGGTCTGGACTTCAATTGGTGGCCTTTGTAGATGGTAAAGGACCAACGTTATATGTTCATACCTGGCGGTCTTCTGTTAACATCCTGGCAATCCTACACATTGAAAAGCCCAGACACCAAATCCAATTTTTATTTTAAAATTTTTTTGAAAGATTAAACATGATGTTCCTGTACCTAATCTCCATTTACATAATAAAAATTAGATCAATTTTTGGTGTGATCAATTCAAAAAGAATTGGGTGTCAATACTGAAAACATATGTTGATGGAAGTCTGGAGAACTACTAAAAAAGCAGGCAATATATTAATTGTACACATAAGAAAAAAAATCACTGAGTTAGCATGGTATGGTTTTTTATGCAAGTTATTCTGTCTTCAGAACCCTGTCATGGTTTTTCAGTGTGGTATGTTTGGTATTGAGAAGCCATGAACAGAAAAAACAGTCTGTTCCATTATTTTTTGGTGCCATGATTGCTTGTTATGTCATTTGAACTAGAAAACACAACTCATGGAATAGTAGAATTGGAAGGGTCCAAGAAGGCCATTGGCTCAGTGCAGAGTTCCAAATTAAACCATCCCTCTCAGATGACTGTCCAGATGCATCTTGAATGCTTCTAGTGTGGGAGAAAGCCCATGACCTCCCTAGACAATAGGGTCCATTGATGTATTGCTCAAACAGTCAGGACATTTTCCTGAAGTTCAGCCAGAATCTGGCTTCCTGTAACCTGAGCTTGTTATTCCATATTCCGCACTCTTGAATGATCAGGAAGCAATCCTGGCCTTCCTCTGTGCAACAGCCTTACCAGTACTTCTCCTTGATCTTCTCTTCTCCAGGCTAAACATGCCCAATTCTTTCAATCTCTCTTCATAGGACTTGGTTTCCAGGCCCTCAATAACCCTTGTTGCTCTTTTCCGAAGCCTTTCCAGTTTGTCTGCATCTTTTTAAAGCTGTGCTGCCCAGAATTGGACACAATACTCCAGATGAGACTTCAGTGCTGAATAGAAGGGAACTAGTAGTTTATGTGATTTGGAAGTGATACTTCTATTAATGCAGCCCAAAATAATGCTTGCTTTATTTGCAGCTACATCACATTGTTGATTGATAGCTAGTTCGTGATCTGCAAGAATTCCACTATCCTTCTATTGTTGAACCAAGTATCTCCCATCTTGTACACTTTTTTTCCCCTAGGAACAGAGCTTGGTATCTGTCTCCATTTTCATTCTGCTGTTTTCAACCCAGCACTCCATCCTATCATTTTGAACTTGGTTTCTGTCTTCCAGGGTACTAGCAATCCCACCCAATTTTGTGTCTTCTGCAAATGTGATCAGCATTCCATGTACTTCCTCATACAAATCATTAATAAAAACATTGAAGAGTGCTGGGCCCAGGACTGAACCCCACTTTTACTTCTCCCACTTTCAATGCCATTGATGAGCACTCTTTGAGTCTGATCCTGTGGATGGTTTTCTGCCAGTTACAGTGTTCCTAAAGCAATCTGCTCAGCTTTGATAACCCAGTTATCAAGTTCATGTTCACTTACCTTGGGGATATCTGAAGGGCGTGAGCTTGGGGATGGCTGGCCAAGGATCTGAATTTTTGTTGAATCTCTCAGGAATGAACTGTGCAGATATATGGACAGCTCCCTATCTTGCACGATTTTGGAGGATTAAGAAGAAGGAGGAATGGAACTTTTATTCTTCATATAAGTGATTAACATGATACACTTTGTGAATAAGTGCAAATTATTTTTGGGTAGCTGGAATAATGTATACATGGTACATTCAGTCATGAATAATGTATTATCTTTATGCATATTCTCTGTGTGGAAAATAATCATGAAAACATCACATTTGTAAAACTTGTAACTGAAAATACTTGGTTGAATCCACAAAACAACTGTTACAATATTCCTCTGGATAATTCATTGTTTTTATGAATGCCATTGAACCATAGGGTAAAACAGTCACTATACTGGTTTCTTTGAAATATATGCTTGTAGTAACTTCACACACAGGCATGCAGTCTGTCAGAACAATAATATAAACAGTTACTAATATACCAAGGCTAGGGGGAAGTAAAATTAAATAGTTTGAAAACACTGAAACATGACATGAAATTCTAAGCAGCAGTGCATTGCTCAGTAGGTTTGCGATTTAAAGTCCTTACCTTACATGTTGTACCATGTGTTTTTTGACAAGTTTGTTTTCCTCCTTGCTTAACAATGTGTGTGCACCCCTTTGTAATATATATTCATCAACTTGCTGAGTTGCAAAGATTCGTAATAAGTTATTTTAGCTCCTAAATCTGTATCTGATATTAAATAATGTATATCTCAGGCAGATTAACTGTCAAACACTTATACCAATTACATTTTTAGTCTGTTTCCAGGTTTTCAGAAGGGGAACCTTTGCATAATGAGGTAAGGGGAGAACATGGATGCTTTCAGCCAGTGTAGAAAGAGAATGGAGATGATTCCCTGAAAAATCAGTATTGCTGCACAGAGCAAGCATGGCTTTTGCACAATCGCACATTATGACAGCTAGAAGGCATCAACACAGTCGACTCATAATTGAAGTTGATGAGTACAGCTCAAACCCAACACAAGCATTCACGTTCTACAACATTAACCAGGGACGTTTCCAGCCCCCACATGTGCAAATGTAAGTATTACAGTTCTGTTATTGCTATAGCACGGACTTCAGAATTGTTGTTGCTGTGTCAATGTGGCATTTGATGGGCTAGTCAAAAATGGAAATTTAGGAAACAATATTTGAACAAAAGGTATTTTTATTAGTGGATGGAAGGGGTAATGTATTATGTTGTTGCATCTTAAGTACTTGGTAAAATAGCAGCAAACAATTGCAGGAGCAGCAAACAATTGCACTTTTAAGATGAGTGGAATTATACCATTAACCACCCAATATCATATAGCTTTTTAAAAATATAAGTCTGGTTTTAGAACAAAACAATCCCCATTATTTGGCTAGAGAGTCAAGATTTCAAAAGAATAGCAACAAAAGAATAGCAACTTGCAAAAGAATAGCAACAACTAATGAAATGGTGTGGGCACCCAGCTGACAGATTCTACTTTAAATACTGACAGTATGTGAAAGACACATGGTGCTTAAAGTGTAATTAAATTAACATGCTTGTTGTTAACTTTTTAACATCAGTAAAAACATCTGTAAAGTTAATTGCTCTGAAGGACAATTTTCTTTTAGTGTAACATAGAGAATCATAATTGGAAAATGAAAGCAACTAATAAAGTTGAGAGCCAGAAGGAAAAGAAGAAAATCTTTAGCTGTAACAGCCATATGAAGTATTAAAACTTACTGTAAAACAGTTTGGCGAGGGGGAAAAAAACCATATGTAGCATACTTTTTCTTTTTTGGTTAGAAGACTTTTTTTAGCTTCACTAGAAACAGAATAGTGCTTGACTTATCAAGTTCATTCATTCATTCATTCATTCATTCAATTTATATCCTGCCTTTTTCCTACAAAGGGCTCAAGGCAGCTTACATCTCCTCCTCCATCTTATCCCCACAACAACAACCCTGTGAGGTAGGTTGGGCTGAGAGTCTGTGACTGGCCCAAAGTCACCCAGTTGGCTCCATGGTTGAGTGGGGACTCGAACCCAGATCCTCTGAGTCCCAGTCCCATGCTCTTAACCACTACACCACACTGGCTCTCAAGTTTGATTGCATAGGACATTGGTAGACTTCTTGTGCCCCTACTGATGGTTTGGCCTATACCTCCCTTCAGCTCTAGCCAGATACGTAGTCAGTGGTGAGGAACGATGGGAGCTGTAAATTATGGAAACCATGAATGAGATTGTGGTGCATGGAAGAGGGGTTTAGATTTGTTAGCCTTTGAGGAACAAGCTGGACCTCCACTTGAACAAGAATGCAAACAGACAGCTGGCACAAATCAGGCAACAAAAACATTTAAACTGAACTCTGGTGGAAAGCTAACAGGAGCTGGAAAGCATTTGATTCGGATAAAATCATTGTCAGGATTGAGGACATAAGCAGCTGGAAACAAAGTAGAAGCAACGGGGCCCAAGGCAATACTAAGTCCACACACTGTTAGAAGTCCACTAGCCAAGTCCAATAACAAATTCAGGTTGTCACAAAAACAGGCCAGGTCAAGAAATAGGAGTAAGTCATGGAGCAAAGCAAGGTCAGAAGCAACCCAGAAGTCAATAACCAAGTAAACAACAGAACAAGAAGCAGATTCCTTGGAGCAGAAAAGCCAGATCAGGTTCATCAAGACATGGCAGGCAAGGCACGATAACAAGACAAGTTGAAGTGGCGAGGGACAGGGTAGGAATGAGAATAGGCAAAGATGCAGCAAGATGCAGCCACAGGAATAGAATACAGCCCTTAGGAGCCTAGTGTTTGCTGAGGCAGCTTCTAGAGAGAAGAGCCTGCTCTTACCTAGCACCTCCCCAGGACTCCTAGGTGTCCTAGGGGCTGCAGCAGGGTCTGAAACTAATCCTGCAGCTACCAGGGTCATTATTTTGGTGCTTGCCCAGCAGATGGATCTCTGGAGCTGCCCAAATCCTGACAATCATTCCTAAGGGATGAAGATGAAAAAGTTTCTGATTGCCTTGATTGTTTCTGAAATGTAGATGGAGAGGAAATAGGACATAAATGCATGATCAAATATGATACCCAGTTGAAGAGACCCAAGTGTCAAAACAAGCTGCACATGCCAGAAACACCTGGAGAGGAACACCCTGTATAGGTGTCTTCATGGAAATGCTAGAAGCCTCCAAGCCAGAACATGATTGGTAGAGTGTCCGGTTCTACAGGATAACTTAAGAAATAATGGGAATTACAAAAAAGCTGGTGGAATACAGAGAAGCAGTAGGATTTGGTTATCAATATTTATTTATTTATTCAATTTATATCCTGCCTTTTTCCTACAAATGACTCAAGGCAGCTTACATCATTCTTCTCCTCCATCTTAGCCCACAACAAGAACCCTGTGAGGTAGGTTGGGCTGAGAGTCTGTGACTGGCCCAAAGTCACCCAGCTGGCTCCATGGCAGAGCAAGGACTAGAACCCGGATCATCTGAGTCCCAGTCCCATGCTCTTAACCACTACACCACACTGGTTCTCAATACAAACTGAACAGGAAGCACAGGAAAGGAAAGGGTGTAGTGAAGGAGGTGTTGTCCTGTATGTCAAAGAGGGCTTAGAGTTCAGCAGACTTTAAAATCTAAAAGATTCGTACTCCACCATAGAAGCATGGTTGGTGACAATAACTGACTCCAAAACTAAGTTAGTACTAGGACCATGATATCATCTCCCAGACCAGAATGCTTAGGGTGATCTTAAGATGGAAAATGAAATCAGGAAGATTTTAAACAAAAGAGGCTGTGTGGGTGACTTGAACTACTTGCATACTGACTGGTTAAATGCATGTTCCTGCCCTGAAAAGATGTTAGATTCTCAGTATCCTAAATAATTCTGGCCTAGATTAGTTGGTTATGGAACTGACCACAAAGGAGGCAAACATGGATTTAATTCTGGTTCTATTAGATTTAGTATATTTAGTGCTATTAGATTTAGTAAGTGGAAGGTTGCTAAAGAGGTCAAACACAGTCACATTAACTTAAGAAACAAAAACTTTTCTAAAATGAGGAAATTTTAACATCCCTCACCAAAGACTCTTGAGCAAATCTAGGAATTTAAGAAGGGAGATCCTCTTATGGATGAGTAATTGGCTAAAGAATAAAAGGCAGAGAGTAAGAATAAATAGTAAGTTCTTCCAGTGGGGGAAGTCAACAGTGGGTCCCATAGGGAACTTTCTTTTCAGCTTATTCATAAAAGATCTGGAACTAGAAGTAAGCAGTTAAGTGGTCAGGTTTGCTGATGACTCTAATATATTTATGATTGTTAAAACCAAAAGGGACTGTGAGAGAAATATCTTTGCAGTATCAAAGGCAGTATGTCTGTATACACCAGTTGCTGGGAAACCTGGGTGGGGGCATGCTGGTACAACCATATCCTATTTGTGAGTTTCCCACAGGCAGCTGGTTCTCTACTGTGTGAACAGAATGTTGGACTAGAGGGTCATTTGCTCTGATCCAACGTGGTTCTCCTCATATTCACAAGTTTCCCTAGAAGTTCTTAATGCATCCCTTTAACTGCAATATTTTTGGTTTTTTAAAAGTAGAAAAATAGTGTGTATTTAAAGTAGAAGTATATCTTTAAATAGTCTCTCTAAACTGAACCTTCAACCAAACTTCATCAAGCAGATAGTCTCATTAAATAAGGAGCTGCATTTATTTATTAGTGTTTGAAAAATTACTGTACAGTATACAATATTTTTGTTACTTGTTTACCTGTTTGAGTGTCCTAATTGCTCTGTCATACCTGATTACAACATAGCACTAATTGGAATTGGAAACTAGCTATGTGAATAATATTATGCAATCTATTTGTAACAGTGCCTCAATGCTTTTCACATAGGGTGGATCCTGTTCCACATGATGCTCCCAAGCCTCCAGGATACACACGTTTTGTTTGTGTATCTGATACCCACTCCAGAACAGATCCAATCCAAATGCCATATGGTGATGTTTTAATACATGCTGGTGATTTCACTGAACTGGGACTTCCTAGTGAAGTTAAAAAATTCAATGAGTGGTTAGGTGAGTATCGTGTTACAAATACATTTGAAAATCATTGCATCTAATCAGTGCATTGCACCATAACTCTGCTTCTGAATAAAACACAATACTCTTGGGTCTATGAATATTAATTTTGCCTTGCTGTTAAAGCCAGTGATCATTACTGTGACTTAAACTCTTATTGCTGTGTGATGCCTAAGATTAAGAAGAAGCAGCGTGAAGCCATGCATTTTTGCTTTTAGAAGTTTAAACTGGGCAAGATATATTTTCTACAGGTTTCATTGAAACTAAAAAGTGGAATTTATGACAATTTGTATAATGGCTCTTGCACATGTTGTTTTCCTCTGTGAAAAACAGGTATAGGAGGGAGATCATGTAAGTCTTTGTTTTATCCTGGAGGGTGCTAAGTTTTCTGTTGGAAGTTCTACTCCACTGCAGTCTTGAAATCTAAATAAAGCAAAACATACTGTACCTATGTGGCTGCTGCCCTTAATAGAGAAGACAGCACCTTCTGTACCAACTCTTGGCACTGATTGCAAAAATTATGTTCCATTGGACAAGAAAGCAGTGCTCCATAATGTTCTGAACATGCTTTAAAATAAAACATAAACAAGGTCTCTCAAAGTCAAATGAGTTTCATTACTGACTGGATATTTATTTATTAGATTTTTATCCTGCCACATTAGCCATAAGTCTCCCTGGGTGGATATATATTTGGATTTTCATTTTGAGTGATAATCCTGAAGAAAAACCAGCCTGAGCTTTCACACATAGTATTGAATATAGTATTCTTGAATGAATATGGTATTTTTGGTGTGCATGGATGGCATAAATATGGCGTAAGCTGATAGAAGCAAACTTAGGAGCTGTCGTACCTTTTAAGTAAAGCAAGAAAAGTGGCAGTCTTATGGTCTGTGGAAAGAACTTTCAGGTTCATGCTGGAACTCCTTTCTGCTACTGTCTTTTCTTTTGGATGATTATGAGGAAACATGCTACTGTCCAATCATAACTACACTAAAATCCTGGATTTTTTCTATGAGCAGTTCTTACTTCTGCCTGTAGGTAGAAAGGAATATAAAGGATCCAGAAATTTGCCTATTGTGGGAGTCTATAAATTTAGTTGGGACTGCAGGTGGCGCAGTGGTTTAAACCACTGTGCTGGTTGATCGAAAGGTTGCCAGTTCAAATCTGCACAACGGAATGAGTTCCCGTTGCTCCGTCCCAGTTCCTGCCAACCTTGCAGTTCGAAAGCGTGCAAATGCAAGTAGATAAAAAGGTACCACGTCGGTGGGCAGGTAACAGTGTTCCGTGCACTCCGGTGTTTAGTCATGCCGGCCACATGACCATGGAGACTGTCTGCGGACAAACGCTGGCTCCCTCGGCTAGGAAACGGAGATGAGCACTGCCCCCTAGAGTCAGGCATGACTGGACTTAATGTCAAGGGGAAACCTTTACCTTTACCCTTACCTTTTATAAATTTAGTATATGGTTAGGAGCATTTGAAACATGAAATATTAGGGTGTCGGTTGAGGAGGAAAAAGGAAAATAAAGAGCCAAAGAAGGAAGCATGTCTTGCTTAACAGCTTAGTGAGTTCCCTGGAACTGGGAGGCAAAAGTAGAGAATGCATGCCATGATGTTTAAATAACTCTCCTCCTCCTGCTATATGAGAATGCTTCACTCTCCATTTCTCTCCCTGCTAGATAATGTTAAAATGATTATGGTCTTGATTCCAATTCCAAGCCTGATCCCTCTTAGAAACAGAGCAAGAGAAGATCTTAGCCTAGAAAGAAGAAGAAAAAATCATGTGACCCCTTACCCTCCTGATCTTCTCACGTCTCAAAAATTCCAAATACTTACATTCTAGACCAGCTAGTGGTGAGAACAAGAACACTCCTAGTGGATGGGGAGTCAGTTCAATATTTTCTGTAGCCCCCATATATAGCTCCTCTGTCCTCTTTGAAGAAAAATAAGCAGGATCCAAATTAACCCTTGCCATCTCTCAAATTGCCAATGTAAGTTGCTGCATGTGTACTTTTCATTCACGTTGTCAAGGAATATCTGTGAGTAAGAATTTGGGTTGAAGGAAGTAAGAAGAGGGAAGAAAGCAAGTTTTTGAAAATTAGAGAGTAAAATGGAGGAAGGTGCACTAAATTGGAACAGGGGATTAAAGTATGCCCTTGATGTAGCAGTGAATGGGGGAATGCAGAGTACCAGGAAGAGGGAAGGAGGTGGATTTTGTTGTTTGGTGCAGGGCAATTTCCTGAGGGTTTTAATTGTGTACAAGCGCAATTCAGTTGATGGAAAACCTTACATTTGAACTTTGAAGCAAAAACTTACATTGAGTGTACCTGAACTTTGTTATAAACAATGGTAAACTTTCTGTACTATAGCTTTCTGTATTGCAACTTCCTGTTATACTAGTGTCAAAAGAAGTTTACCTTTACTTGTTGACCTCATTCTTTGATCTTTTGACTTCTAGCTAGTCCGAATTGACTTCCCCAATTCCTACTTGATTTCCCCAGTAAACTCACATTTTCTTTCTCTCTTCCAGATTGCATTCCTTAACTCCCTTCACTAACTTTCAACATTTCTTTCTGTGGTCTTAGGTTTTGAGACTCCCCTTTCTTCACTATAATACTCAAATCTGTCTGTCTAGCCACCTCCACTAGCTTCAGAAATCCTTCTCTCATACTCTCATGCCTGTCAAGCTGTCCTCCTTTCACTCCATAGTTGTGTCCAGCTTCATTACTAATGCTAATTACTTTCTCCCTGAAGTCTTCATTACTTATGATAATTATATGTTGCTTTAAACACTCTTTCAAGGTCTATCTGTATTTATATTTCAAACCATGTCTCCTGTCATTCACTGCATTTCAAGCTCTAAGCACTGTATATGCTTCTCAGGCTATATAAACAGTTTTTCACAAATACATCTATTCTCATCCTCTTAAGCCTTTTCACAACATCTCTTTAAATATTACTGTCACTATATGTGTTCACTTTCATACCATAATAATATTAAACTTATTTTTATAGTGATTGACTATAGGTTAATCAGGTACTTCAGACATACCATGAGTAAATGGTAATTCAAAGCTTATAGTTACCTTCATAAGAGTTACCATTTGTTGTACAGGACATTTTCTTATGGTGCAGTCATGGAGAACTACTCAGTAGTGAGTCTTCTCATTCAGTACAGCTAGAGAGGGATAACGTATGCCACCATGTTCACCTTTAAAATGAAAAGGCAGTCAATAAGTGAAATAAGCAATAGAAGATATCTTACATCATCCCATCCCTGCTCCACTTCTACAAATTCTTCTCTACCCATCTATAAATATAGCAGCTTCTCCCCTTTCAAAATGCTCAGTCAATTGATTGGTCAAATATTGACCAAAAGATACTTAATTGAATTTTGTGTAATTGAAATTAGCATTTCCCTAAACATTTGTTTTGTAAACATGTTCATTCATTCATTACAAAAGTTGGTTGTTGCTGAGTTGGAAATAAAATGTTAACTGTAATTACTTGTAAGTAGCTATGTTATGCAAAAACAAATATGTCAGATCTATAAAACGTATTTATATGTCATGGCATTGCAGTAAGAAAGGATCAACAGATTGACAGCTACAAAGATCTCTACAATTAGTAGAAAAAATTCCCAGAATATTGTTATGTATAAAAAAACAATTGAAAGAGAAATCTCTTGAAAATCTGAAGCAAATTTCCAATGACTTTTCATTGAAAATAACACCAGATTTTCTAATTTTTACATGAGCTTTCTTCAGTCAGTTTTGTCTTCATATTTCTTGATATCTAATATTTGTCCATACCAGAGTTAAATTTCTGATACCACACTGAAAATGCAGAGAGCGCAATCATGTAGTCCCAGTCTTGCATTGATACGTGTTTGAAGCAGACATCTCTAATTGAATAGCAATTTGGTGGGGGGGAAAACCCTACCTATCCTTTACCAGCTGCAATGCAGATGCAAAATAGGCAGCCATGACTTGATGTAGGATTTGTACATTTGCAAATAGTTGGCTAGTCAGTTTTTGTAGCAATTTATTTGTCTAACCACTATATGTGTAATTTTAGATCTGGAAAACTGCTACCCCAATCACGTGTACTTAGAAAGAAGTTCTATTTAAATCAGTGGGACCCTTTTTCAAGTAAATTGGTTTAGGTTCAGGATCGAAGTGTATTTTTCAGAAAGACAATTTTTCTCCCTAGCATATATATGCCCTTTTCCCTTTTTGTTAATGTTGGTGCTTAGGTATAGAATTTTTATTTGATATTCTAATGTTTGATTTAATTGCTAGCTTTAATGTTTCAATGATGCTTAGCTAGAACAGTTTACAAATGACTTAAGGTGTATTCATTTTCACTGTTAATGTAAATTTCCCAGACATCAGCCAAGTGTTTAAACACAGAACTGTCAACGAGATACTTAAAATGCAATCTAAGACAGTTATACTATCTTTACTATATCACTCACTGCAATATTCTAAAAGGTTGAAATGAGAAAGAGAAAGCATTAAGTGGGCATTTATATGATTGCTATTGCTCTCACAGAATACTAAAATATGTTCAGAGAAAAGTAAAGTGCAACTGCTGTTAGGAGCCTGCATATATGTTTCACTAAGATAAGCACATCATTTTTAATATATTCTGTGGAACATGGAAAGCTTCAACCCACCCAAGGAGCCATGTGGCTAATGGGGTGGGCTAAAAAGCCAATAAATTAATAAATAGTAAACAGATATCCACAGGAAATTATTCAGACTCGGATGGAGAACTAGTGTTCTTTGCAAGACTGGAGCTGAAGAAAACCTCCCTGTGGAATCTCAAGGTGGTTCAAATAGGCCAAGACTCAACACTAGTGGACCAGGCCAGCCTAAACTATGCAATGCAACAACTATGCAAGTATAAAACCAGCCAAGACCCTAGAATAGAGCTGTCAGGTTCAGAGCCTTTAAATGTCTCCAAATTATAGAGGAATTTTTAACTTCCTCAGTCA